CATCAAAAGTGATCATCAAAAATATCAGAAATAACTTGTTCTTTTAATGCTTGTCCACATGATCAGTATTCTCCGTAAAATTCGTCATTTTCCTTTTTGGAGAAGCTGCACCTCACCTTCATGGACAACGTACGTAATTTCAATCAACATAATCTTTGATCGCTCAGTTCTCATTACTCCTCTTCCGCTTCATGTGCCTTCTACCTTCCTGTCGATCTCCAGTTGACCGCCTTCCCTTGTTTATTTCCAGCTATAGCAGGTGCTACTTTGTGGCTTTAGGAGACATTTTCTTATTTAAACTTAATTTTCTATGCCTGATGAAAGCGGGGTTTACGATGAATAAACAGTTGTAGACAGAAGTGGGATCCCTCTTTGCCCGTGATTTCTGCGCTGATGCGAGTCTCATCGGTGACGAATTCGTGAACGGTGACGTTCTTTCAGTCAGACGGCGAGATGGGCGTGCGCTCCGTTGGAATCTCTTGTACGGTGTAAGGGTCATACTTCGAGGAAAGTTTGGCCAGGACTTCCCCACGGCACTGCGACCCCAAAACTCCATAATATTTCAATAGCGGGTGATGGGCTTACGGAACTGCTGGATTTTCTCCAAAATCAGCGTTCCTAAATGCCCAATATGTCCCCTGCTCACCATCAAGACAAGTATTTCCCCTGCACCCTGGTGCCCATAAAATCGTTTAATATATGCTTAAAAATTGTTGTTCAAGCGAAATCCTTCTAATTTACCAGTTTGGTTGACTGCGCATATGTCAAAGTAGGTTCCAGTAAATTGAGCATAGTAGGGCTCTTGTGTTAAACAAAACACATGCATTCAATGCATTTGACTGATGTTATTAAGGAAGGGTTATTGTGATGCTGGAGATGAAGCTGTAATTTCTCATAGGTCAAACTCCAGTTAATTTAGGCTTTCCGCCCGTCTACCGCGGCAATGACGCCTTTGCATAGACTGAGAATTCGGTGAAGCTTTGGGTCTCACCGCTTAACTATAGCTGCTTCCTTAAATGCATTACTGTCCGTTGCTCATCTTGGCTGTATCTCACTGTTTGATAAGCGCAGTGAAGTGCACAGCTAAAGTGATGTATGTAAACAACCACCATGCATCGAGTATCGAGGTAATTTAGCGGTCGAATAATTTTTGATGATCTCAAATTAGAATGCCCAGTATTCACTATCGTATTTATTCGAGCATCTCATTCATCCTCAAGAACTCGAGAAGGTGCAGCGGTCGAAAGGTGTTTGAGTTTACAATTATAACGCTAATGAAATGATATTGAAATGAAATGCACTATCTGCAATCTGGTTTCGAGTGAATCTCTACGTTCGTACGCATATCGTTACTATTAGTCCTCAGCTGTCGTTATCACTTTTTGAAAACCCACAAATATGTTACCGTCCCACCCCCATATCATGTCCCAAAATCAGTTCCTGACGACTGCTGCGAAGCGCACTATATATTTCGTGAAATTTGTGTTTCAGCGCCCCTCTATCTGCTCTTATCAGTCGTTATCACTTTGTAACCCCCACCAAATATGTTCCCGCCCCACCCCCTATACCATGTCCCAAAATCAACTCCTGACGACTGCTGCGAAGCGCATTACATATTTCGTGAAATTTGTGTTTCAGCGCCTCTTATCTGCTCTTATCAGTCGTTATCACTTTGTGACCCCCACCAAATATGTTACCGCCCACCCCCTATATCATATCAAAAAATCAGCTCCTAACGACTGCTGCGACGCGTGCTATGAATTTCGTGACACACGCACACACACACACACACACACACACACACGTACAGACAGACATAGCGTTTTATATATAGTAGGGATAAGAATAACTTCGTAAGCATACATGCTATACGAAGAAGAATATGTCTACGCGATGAAAGGCTATGGAAGAAGCAGAAACAATTACTTCATAGCTCATATCCCGAAGCTGGCGCTCATGTACTTAGGGGGGACATTCAGAACAGGGCATTCAAAAACCGCTGGTAGGTGACATTACGACTAAGCCCAGGACTGGGAATAAACACAAGGGAGAACAATGGTTGCCCACAATTTCTTTCCCTTCCCTAAAGCTTAGTCCTGAGTTTTATCAGTGGCCCACCCACTCCAATGTCCCCCCTAAGGACATGAGCGCCCGTGTAAGTTTGATTGACCGCGTCACCGGAAATGACGTGGCGGCCACCACACTCGATAGATGTCGTGTAGATAAGATACTACGCCAGATATCAGCAAAGCATGTGCTAAGAAACACTTTATCCGCGCAACTTCTACAGGTGTGTGCTGCTTAAAACGTCGCTGGCTACATCTTAAACGCTAAGGCTGCCTTGCCGCGGACGCGAGAACGTTTGCACTGGCATGATTGTGAATAACACCCGAACGGCTAGTTACCCACTAAACGATTCTCCAAACGAACTTAAACTTATGAAACGGAAATTGCTGCGGTGGTCTCCCTTTTAGTACTAAGGCCATTGATTCGATTCCTTTGTGAGTTTTTCATTTTCCTTCTTTGTCACATACCTATATATATACTAGTCACGAAGTGCAGAGGCGAGCGATGATCTTCCCCCTGAACGCCGCATCTGATAGAAGTCGTATAGATGAGTAGTTTCCAGCACGCTTTATTGAATTCCAGCGAAATATGCTGGAAACACCTTATACAGTGTGGTGGCCATCACGTCAAATCCGAAGGAACGTCTAGGGCAGCGAAATATGGACTATAGGAGTATTTCGATAATAAAAAAAACCAAAATAAAGTGCGGGGGAAATCCTTTGCAAACTCGTTTGAAAATGGCTCAGCTATGGAAGGTAATTCTGGGCTCATCGTCTTAAGACAGTGCAATGATGAGCACCGCATACATTCAATTGTTCGGACCGACCTGATGACCTCTCCTTGTCTCACAAGGGAAGTCTTTCAGGGCAAGCCGCGCTTTTTGGAAACGGTTTCTTGCATATTGTAGGGACGCATGTATGGACCACAAAACCATGTTTCGTTTTCGCTGAACGGTTTTAGTAGTATCAAAAAAGTGGTGAATGATACCCTTGATGGTTCGATCCCCCGCGGCGACTAAATTTTGCAATCAAGGTTGGCGGCCACTTGTTGGCTTCAAAATGGTCCTGACGATGAATTTGACATCTGATTTTGACATTTAGCGCGATTTGGCACCAAACCGTAGGCGCCAACCCAAATGCAAAATTTAGTCGCCACGGGGGATCGAACCCTTAACAGTACCTTATGCTTCTTTTTTGGTACTGCTAAAACCGTTCAGCGAAAATGAAACATGGTTTTGTGTTCCCTACATGCGTCCCTACAATATGCAAAAAACCGTTTTGAAAAAGCGTGGCTTGCCCTGAAAGACCTCCCTTGTAGTGTACGTCCTTGGCAGGTGGCGCCGCTTGCCGCAAACATCTCCACCCGATTAAGTATGGGAAAATTATCTTGTTTTTCTAAAAATATGCTGCGTTTGGATGGCACTTCAGTTTATAATCTAGTTCCATTCTAGTAAACGTGTTTGAAATGTCTTCAGTATGATATCAAAGTTGCAGAATACTAAGGAGATGGATTTTGATGGCGAGAAACGTATGTGCTATATGGACTCATCACACGAGAATCTCGGAGCTATTCATGATGACGTGTGCCGACGTCGGCGTGACCTCGGATTCTCCGAGTCCGACCTTACATTAATTTTCCAGCATTTGTGCATGATGTCAGCACCTTTTTTGTGAGATCACCTTTGCTACAGAGCCGCCCTCCTGTTCTTCAAAAAATTCTGTCAATGCCCGTCCTTTCTCGCGCTCGTTTTGTTTTCAAGAACGAACATGAGTCAAAAGGATAGTGCTTCTGAGCAAACAGTTGAATATCAGTTGCCGTTTTACAAAGCTATGTAAAACGGAAATTTCTTTTCAACCCTCCCTGTGGAAAAATCAGCAGTGCCAAGCCGTCAATGCGTGTCAAGTCCATGCGAGGTGCCCACATTTTTACACATCGAAGTAGGCAATGTCTAAGCTGTTTATTTTTGAAAATACGATGTTATTGAATTGTTTCACTTCAACTTGTCATTATGTCGTCAACGCATTTTTGCAATGCAGCTTCTTTCCTTTCTCGTATCTGATCTAAGTGTATCAATAATTATGTCGAGTGACGTAACGAGATGCTTATCTTCACAAGAAAAAAAAAACGGAAAGTTCATATTGTTTTGAAGCGGTTTGTTCTGAGTTTTGTAGTTGTTGTTCACAAAACCCGGTGCTTATAGCTGATTTTTAGCTTCTGGAGTGCTTCATGCGCTTCATTTTTTTTCTAATATTTTGTTTTGAGGCCATTGGCTTACAGAATTTTTGTTTGCACTTTCTGCATGGCAAAAATCAGATTTCTAGTTTTGACCCGTGAAATCGCATATCTATCGAATTACTTTCAATTTGTGTAGCTGCGGTATGCAGCTGCCTCTGCTTACCTAAACTCGCTATTCTAAGCTGTAATTGTTGAATGGTGCTTTTTGTCAATCCTTGGGGTATACGCGCGTTATTGCCGGTGGAATATAGTATTGTTTTGTGTTGCGATTTGGCAAATCATGGCACGTGTGGTGCACACCACACAATGCTAGTTGATCGTTGGATTTTTTTTCATCTCGAATCGTTTGTTTCTACTAGTTTTTTTTTGAGTTGATTAATACTCTGTTTCTGTGAGCTATTTTCTCTGTCATTCTCCCATCTCAGGCTGTTTGATCTGTTTTGGCTATGTGCTGTGTTAGTTACAATACAGCCCCCCGCCTCGAGTAAGATGAAACCAGCTTTCCAACCTATACCAATATAAATTGTAATGATTAATAAAATTAATATGGATAGACTAACAGTCGGTTAACGTCAAAATGTGTTGAGCAGTCCATATACAGTGGGAGCAAAAAAATTACTAACTGATCGAGTAAAGTAACTGCTTGAAAGTCTCATTTGTTTCCTGCAGGAATACTGATCTTTGACCATTGTCATGAGCGGGTTGGACACAAGTTTTTCTAATTTACCGTCAACACCGGATACTCGGCAAGGCAGTCAACGGAGCGGAGCCACGAAATGTAGCAGAAACCGTGAAAATTCGCGTTATTATTGGAATCAAAGCAGTCAGGAATCACACCATCGTTACGCAAACAATGAAGGAAAATGCTGGTCACAGTTCGGGTAGCTTTTGCTCACCTTTATGTCAAATTTTCCCGAATTGCTAGTGAACTTCACTCTGCATGAACTGTTGAAGGTGAAACCCCAGTACAGAGGGGACCACTCCATTGACTCTTGAGCTCTGCAATGCTAAGGGATTGGATAAAAGTTTCATTGCTCCGTGATACGATCATTCAAAATACTTCCTATGAAGGACGCGGTGTAGTGCAAAGTACTCCTGGAAGGCTTTCAGATTTCGGCCTGTGTGACCCAGGGTCCTCAACTAGGGTATAGGCATCCTTGCCTAGGCCTAAGGGTGTAGGAGCGCCAGGTGGGAGGTTTGCATGCCATGAATTACCTACGATGTGTGTAGGATGCGCGTGATGTAGGGCATACACCGTTCTTATTAAAAGTACGCTCGAAATTAGTCGTCCTAATGTGTTATCCATTGGGTTTGGGTTCAGAGGAGTGCATCTCGAGTACTGCGGATAATATTGGGTTGTCTCATAATTACTGTCGCAATTTCGACACTTTTGTTTATTCAAGTTTTATCTCTTCTGGGAAACAACTGACTAATAGCATAACCACCATCATGGTCACTGATATGCGTGCATTTACTAGTGGGCGTTTGGAAGCTTCCAGCCCAGAATGAAGGAAACTGGGGTTGAAGAATTTGGAGAAGTCGTTTTTGGGGTGACCGCAATCTTTAACTTTCTCTGGATCCAATAAAACGAGATCGATATTCTCAGAAAACGGAGTTCGGGCTTTGGTTGAGCTGGTGCTTCCTGGCTGCGAGGCAGCCATAAGACGTGCCGCATGTTGTTGTCGCAGTGGACTCATGACTCATTTCCACCGGTGACCGATTAGGGAAGACTCTGCTTTTGCCATCCAAGAATGGGTTTTCCCCAGGTGATCAGGCGTGCTTCCCGCTCATGGTCGGCCGGACCATAAGGTTTCCATCAAAACTTCACTCTGCAGCAGTCCTTGCCATACTGATGGCGTGTGCTGGTGCATCGGCTGCGCTCAGGTATCTGCTACAATACCCTGGTAGCAACGTGCGGAGGCACTCCCAATTTAGGGTGCAAGGGGCGCTCATCAAAAATGACCGCAGGCCCAGTATGAGGTTGAAGTTCATAGCTCGTTTCGTCTTTGCCGTTGCGATTGGTCCACTAGCTCAGTACCCTATCAGTAGCAGAGACTGAGTCAAACACAGCGCTGATCTTCTCTGTTGTCCTCCTTGCTACAGAGTTCATTTGAGGATCGTAAAGCATAATCATTGATTGCAGTCACTGACCTATTTTTATTACTAGTTGATTAACCCGTTAAGGGCTTGCGCTTCCGAAACCACGCTGTTAAGGCACTTGAAGCATACTTCAACATACTAACGTATTTCGCAATGAAACGGTCTTAGACGGAAGGAATTTGAAATTGAATAGAAATGCGACAGGAATTATGAGACAACCCAATAAGACGTGTCCCCCCCCCCCCCCCCCCATCCCCTCCCCCCCCCCCCTCCTCTCCCGATACAAGGAGTTTCACGCTCTGTTGCAGTAATAATCTGCGTGAAAAGCCATGTGTAGCTGCACAGTAGCGGAATCGGACGCTAATAACTGATTTCTTCTCTGTCACTATTCTTGAACAAAACGAATAATGGTCAATTCAATCATTCGTGGTGGAGGCAGACACTCTGAACATACACTGTAACATTGCAAGCGTTTGCCACAGTCGTTCTAGCTGCAGTACACTGCCAATTGAGCACGGCTGCCGACTACTCCACTTTTCCCCCCCAGGGCAGTTTCCCTCGTTCTTTCTTCAGGAACAGACATACGAGCTGAAATACCCCAGTTGAATTGCACCTCGTTTTTCTGGTATCGTGATGACCAGGCTGTACCGTTCGCTAAAGAAGCTTCGGCATATACATACGTGCTCGCCCTCTTCTGCAAAATATTTGCTTTTGGGGCTGATAGTATCTTTTTAAAATAAACTATTTTGAGACCTCGCGCTTCAAACCCTTGTTAGCTTTAGAGTTTGTCGTAATTCCGGTGCTATTACAGTTGCATAACACAAAAGTAATAAGACAACCCGAAAATTTTTCTAGCAACTTCACTTCTGCGCCCTGCGACCGCCACATTCAACTTCTCGTATGCGAAAATCTTGGAAATACTTATTCCCACCGGTTTGTAGCTTTAATTTTTTTTTAATTGATGCAGAAACCTTGTAGCACTGAACCTCTGATCAAAAGTATGTGGACACTTCCAAAAACGGCAATATCTTCAGAATCTGAAATCGGTAGGCCTACCAAAGCTTCTAGTAAGTTGAGCCATTCTGTTTGGCATGCTATGAACCAGGCTCTGGATACATGTCTTGCAGATCTGTTCCCAACCAGCAATTTCACCGACGTGTTAGGTCACTTGTGATATTACTCTTTTGTTCAATGACGTAGAGACCGCGAACCACGATACCTCTACGTTTTCAATAAGGATGAAGTCTGAGGAATACGCTAGCCGACTTGCCAATCAAAGCCGTTGCGTTTAGCATTTTTCCAAATGGAATGGTGTCAGGGACCTCCCCTCGCAAAACAAGTGTTTCGCGACGGTGACTTCTTCGAAAAAGGTTGTAGCCGGATTCAAGCAATCCTAGTTGTCTACCTGACATGTTGGCAAGCCAAACTTCAATTTCCCCTTCCTTTTGGAACCACCCCAGACCTTTGATGAACATCTTCCGAATTGTCTCTTCGAGCACATCTGCGGGTCACGACCAAGGTCTCTCCAAAAACAACAAGACCCACCCGAATAGCAGAGGATGAGCTCCTCTCCACGAGCTGAGGTGATCTAATAAGGAAATTTTTACAGAACATCTTTAATGTGTAACAAACAATGTGAGACTTCAAAATTTTATTGCAAAAGACTCAAAACTTTCTACAAAAGAAATTGCAAAATTGTGTGTTTGCAAAAGTTTTGCAAAAGTTTAGGCCTTTTTGGCGAGCTTTCGGCGCTTAGCACCTTTGTCAAGCCTTCTCAACTTGTGCCAGATATCCATACACGATATTTTTCATTTTTTATTGTACCATGCGCTCATCCAATCGAATGGAACGCTAATTGGTCATTTTTAGACCGGGAAGGTCATTTGAACGCGAACGTGAATAGCAGATAAAAGAAATTTTGACACATCACGAGCTATTCTTGTGTTGTTTTGAATATGTAACGATCCGAGACGACCCTTAGTCTTTGTCGAGAACTTAGCATAAGAATTCTTGATCTCTTTTCCATAACACGAAGATGAACGGCGCAGATTGATTTGCAATGCTCGGTTCAGAAACTTCGTTTTCCTCAGGGTGTCCACATAATTTTGATACAAAGAAAAAACTTTCCATGAAAAATAGTTCGCTAAGTTAGAACGAAATCTTTTGCCGAAAATGTCATTGTAGGTTATCGACCACTAGGAGTTGAATGGTGAAGGTTTCATGACACAAAAGCCTTTAGCTGACCCTGAGAATCGATTCCAGGGTGTCCACATACTTTTGGTACGCACTGTATTGTCCTAATGTGCAACTGTCATTCGCGTTCTTCGTTCCTCACACA